GTATTTTTGTTGGCCGCTGTCCGTGGAAGATCTGCCTTGTTGTTGTTGTTAATGTAGAAGAAAAGGATGCAGCAGGGTTCGTTTTTTTCTCTCTCTGGAGTTTTTACAAGTGCGTTTGACATTTTCCAGCAACGAGCTGTTTTTAACTTATTTGTCTGAGAAACTGCTTTGCTCAGCATAAATCTGCAGCGCGTTTAAGCATGCATTTACTAAGTTGGGGCAAAAGTTGCGTGGGTGCTTTCCTCCCTGCGTTTCCTGCTTCACTAGTGGGGTAAACCTCAAAAGATTCTGGCACTGATTTGCCTCTCATTTATACCGTGTAAATATCCACTGTTTTCCAGGGAGTGAATCCTGGTGTTGGTGAGAAGTGACCCCACCAGGCTCTATGCATTTGGGCTCACGTCACATGAGCAGCCACAAGTTTCGATGGGGAATGGCCCTGACCCACCCCATTTCTCCTCGGCCAAATGCCCCCCGAGCAGCAGAGACTGCATAATCCAAGCCCAGATCCATGCCCATATTTTGCAGCTGGCTGCTACCTCTAGGAAGGTTCTAAACCAGAACCCTTGGACCTGAAACAGTCTCTCCTCCTCCCTCTGAATTTTGGGATGTTGGAAATCCAGTTCAATACTTCATCACTTAGACCTGTCTCTAATGTGGATGCTGATCCAAAGCTTTCCAAATGGGCTGCTCCCTAACGTAAGCATCTGAATCCATCCTTCGTCGAATTCTCATGGGAGCACACTTCCTGATGCATTTCTGATGCTTTTCCTTCCAGTACTGGCTGGAGCACGTGGACTTACTGGGAGAAGAGGCCTTCTTGGGATATTTTAGCACTTAAGGTTCAAAACTGGAAATAAAAATACACCTCTAAGTTGTCCTCGGGAGCCAAAAAATCTTACCGCCTTATAGATGAAACCGTGTTATATTGAACTTGCTTTGATCCGCCAGAGTGCACAGCCCTGGCCCCCCCCCCGGAGCACTGCTTTACCGTGTTCTGTCCAAATTTGTGTTATATCGGGTCGCATTATATCGGGGTAGAGGGGTACCCTCTTTTCCTGAAGCTCCAAAAATTGGTGGCTGATGGTCTTTATTATTCTAAACTGCCTCACTTCTCCCTATGCTGTGTGTTAGCTTGTCAGACATGGCTTTTAGGGGCCAATCCTCAGATCTGCAATATCCCTGGATTTCAGTGTGTGTTGCGTTACTTGGGACCTCTGAGGATCTGGCCTTTTAAAAATAATCCTAATGAGCGGCTAGCTCCTGGTTCCCCATTCGAGACACAGCCGTTTTAGCTCTGCCTTCCTTCTGGAGGGTGAGAGTATGGAAACTGTGCCTTCATGCTCTGGAAATGCAGGGTTAGAGATAAGAAACATGCTCAGGAAGTGTTGTCACCCACCCATTCAGGAGTTATCCTTTTCAGATGCAGGGAGTATGCGACTGATTCTTCATCAGTGCTACGCCCACAAAGGGAGGTGGGGAATACATTTGTTGCTAATGGAAAGAAAATAACTAGTTTAGTGGGGGTGGGGGGAAGGATAGTACTAAAACTCCTCTCGTTAATTGGTTCCCCCTTTGAACCCAAGTGGTTCCAGGTGCAGCAGGGTGAGAGAGATGGTGGGGGGGATAGCAGGATGACCATATGCTTTGTGCACTGCACCAGAACTGCAGAGATCTGGGGCAGTGGAAGGTCCCTAAAAATGGGGGGGGGTCACCGGCACCCAAACCGTGGCCCCCACCTCCTTGCAC